TAGAGCGGGTATACCGGATACGCAGTCTGTTTTCAGTGAAAATCATACGGCCCCCGGAAACTCGTTCCCGCTAGACTTTAACGACCCTCCGAGATCTTAACTATCACGCGCGCATCTTCAGAACCTCCCTCCTCTCTCATCTCTTTCTCTCTCCCTTTCTCCCCCACTAACTTTATTGTAAACGAGACGGAATTTTTCTTTCTATATATATATATACGCCAAGCAATTGAGTCTGTTTAGAAAAAAGGGGAAACGTTTATTTTTCTTTAATCGTCAATTGTACAAAAGAAATTAACACAAATTACAAGTTTTTTATTTTTTATTGTCTTCTTTTTTATTTTTATTTATTTATTTATTTTTGATACAAGTAGAAAAAGTATATCTTAGTCAGACATGGTGATTAAAATTCTGGATAATTGAATGCAAGTAGTAAAAGTAAATTATAGTCAGACTATTTATTTATTTTTTATTTCCAGTACAAGTAGAAAAAGTATATTTTAGTCAGACATGGTGATTAAAATTCTGGATAATTGAATGCAAGTAGTAAAAGTAAATTATAGTCAGTCTATTTATTTATTTTTGATTTTCGGTGCAAGTAGAAAAAGTATGTTTTAGTCAGACATGACGATTAAAATTCTGGATAATTGAATGCAAGTAGTAAAAGTAAATTATAGTCAGACAAAAAGTTTTCCATTCCTTGTAAGTTTAGCGCAAGTAGAACAAGTAAATTTAAGTCTGACCTTTTTAGTTCAAATGTCACATATGTTATTTAAGTAGTACAAGTAAAGTATAGTCAGAAAAAATGGCTTTTAATTGATAAAAGTAAAGAAAAATTGTAAGAATAATTGAAATTGTAGAAATGAGTAGAAGAAGTAAATTTTAGTCAGACATGTTGGTTTTAATGTCTGATAAGTAAAATAAGTAGTAAAAGCAAAATATAGTCCGACAAAGAGTTTTCTAGTCTTTGCAACTGTAGTGCAAGTAAAACAAGTTAATTTTAATTCGACACGTTGGTTATATAATTCTTGAGAATTAAAAGTAAATTACAGTCAGACAATTATTTTAAATTAAAAATAATATTTGATAATTTTATTTTATAATTTTATTATTTTATAATTGAACCATTTGTTAAATTTATTCTAATATTCATAATTGATTATTTTATAATTGAATAATTAATAATTTTAATTTTATACCCATATTTCATTAATTATTAATTAAAAATTTTCCGAATCAAATTTTATTTAACAATATTTAAAATTTAAATAATCGATGATAATAATATATTTTCGTAATTTCATGTTTAATTTTCTTTTTTAATCTTCTTCCTAAGTTTTTTAATATTAAACTGAAAAAACTACCCTCTTTCAATTTTTTTTTTATTGGTAACAGAAAAAAAAGGTCGCGAACTTCAGTGACATACTTTTTCAATTTTCCGTTAAAAGAGAACTTTTTAGTACCTCACACATACATAGGTGTATATATATATTTTTAATATATACACAACAGTTTATGTGATTATTTCTTCCTTTCTTTTTCAGAAGAACTCTTTTCATCCTTTTTTTTGTCAAAGTGAATTGTGCAATTTTGTCAAAAATGTATACGATGCAAAACTTGTAGATGTGAGGTATAATGTAGTTATCCTGCTCTTCAAACAGCATGTACATGTGCCTATGTGTGTATGTGTATATAGTTGAAAGTTAATGCAACCAGAGACAAAATATTATTCAACGAAATAATTAGTTTCTATTTTTAATTTTTTGGTGTTTGAATACAAACTTGAAAAATTAGAATTTATCTTTTTAAATATTTGCAGAATATAACACCAGAATGGATTAAAATAATCTGCAACAGTTTAATCCCTCTAGGATTAAATTAACACCAGAAAGGATTCAAATAATCTATTTTGGTGTTATTTTTAACTATAAATGAAATTTTACTTTAAATAAAACACCAAAGTCAACGATTTGTAAAAATTCAACGAATTTAGCTTCTCCAGGGAGAATAGTAAGTTAAATACTAATTTACTAACTAACTTAGTAACATATTTACTAAATTCAATTGTGTTCAAAAATTTAAAAAAACTCTCGTCAAAATTTCAATTCTCTTTATAAATAATAAAATTCTTCTCTGATATTCAATTATTTTACAAAATTTTAATCAAATTTTTGTCAAAATTTCAATTATTTTCAAAAGTTTTCTAAAATTCAATGATTTTCAGTACCTATCTACTATTTCAATAAAATTTTCCAAAAGAATTACATTATTAAAAAAAAATTTGAATAAAATTCTACGCAAAAATTGAATTATTTACAAATTTTTTTATAAATTTCTTCGCAATAATTTAATTATTTTCATAAATAATAACTTTTTTACAGGGATTCAATTATTTTTATAAATAATAAAATTCTTTTAGGAATTCAATTATTCTCATAAATAATGAAACTCATTGCATAATTTAAATTATTTTTAATCCAATTTTAATCAAATTCCTCGAAAAATGTAATTATTCTTAAAAATTTTATTAAAATTCGTCCAAAGAATTTAATGATTTAAAAAATTTGTTGATAACATTTTTTATGAGAATTTAATTTTAAGAAACATGAAATTAATAAATTATTTATTTTTGTATTTAAATAATTGAATTCTCGTAGAATTTACTAATAAAAAAGGGTTTTAAAAATGAATTTCAGTCAAAAATTTTAGATTATAATTAAATATTAAAAGCATTATAACGTAGATTTTTAAAAATAATTAAATTTTGAAAAAGTTTTAAATTAAAATCCTTGGAATTCTTAATTTTTCATATTTTTGACAAACAATTCTGTAGAATTAATTCTTTAAAAAGTTTAATAGGATTTTTATTGAAATTATTTCAAGTTTTTATTTTTCAATATATATTTAATTACAGAATTTCCGAATAATTGAAATTTTTTAAAATTGAATTGTAAACGAATAAATTTGAAAATTCTCAAAGAACTTTTTTAAAAATTATTAAAAGTAATGAATTTATTGAAGAATTTTAGTTAAAAACACTAGAAAAGGATTTAATTTTAGAGAAGTTAGAAATTATTGCAGAAATTCAATTATTTTCAAGAGTAATAAAATTCTTCTTAAGGATTCAATTATTTTTACTAATAATAAAACTCATCGTTGTGTTTCAATTATTTTTCATACAATTATAATTGAATTCCTTGAAAAAAGTAATTATGTTCATGCAAGTTTTAACCCCTTAACTGTTTGAGGAAAATACAACATGATTGTCCCAAACTGCCCAGCAGAATCTGATACTTTTTCAAATAGTATAATATATTTAAATTATAACTAATTATTTAATTACTTTCTAAAATATCATTAATGACCCTTATAATTTCTTATAATATTGATATAAAGAAAAATGTCTATCAATTTATAAACAAATTATATTTATTTTGAGTAATAGTGAACACGACCCACGGGTGGGTCGGAAACAGTTATGGCCATACTTTTTCACGACCCACCCGTGGGTCGGAAACAGGCAACGGGTTAATAAACCACGACAAAAGAATTCAATTATTTAAAAATTTGTTACTAAAATTCTTGATTAGAATTGAATTTTGAGAAATATTCAATTATTCAATAAATTATTTACTTTTGCATTTAAATAATTAAATTCTTGTAGAATTTTCTAATAAAAATTGATTTTCATTTCATAAAAATGAATTTCAGTGAAAATTTTTGATTATAATTGAATATTAAAAGCAATAAAGCATAAATTTTTAGAAATAATTGAATTTTGAAATTAATTTTTTTGAAAAAGTTCAATTGAATTTTCTTTTATTTTATTTGAAGGTTTTATTTTCTAATATGCATTTAGTTAAAGAATTTAGGAATAATTGAAATTTCGTGAAATTGAACATTGTAAACAAATGGATTTGAAAATTGCCAAAGAACTTTTTCGAAAAGTATTAAAAATAATTGATATAAAGTAAAATTGTAGTTAAAAAATTTTAAAAATAATAATTGAATTAAAATAATGAAAATAATTTGGAAGAAGTATAATATTCATATAATATAAAATAATGATTTTATTACTTGGTCATCTTAAATTATTATAAAATATGAAGAAATCGATGACTCCGAGTCGAAGACTCGGAGTTATCGATATCTTCATGTTTTATAGTTATAAAAAAATTTAATAAACTAAAATTTCATTCATTGTAAAAAAAATAACACCAAAATTGATTATTTTAATCTTTTTTGGTGTTAATTTAATCTGCAACACTTTTTAATACCTCACGATTTACTGTGATTATAATTCCTAAAGAAATTTTTGTCAAAGCACTGTCTGACCAAATAGGCACCTATTCTACTTAAAGGCGATAGCTTTTAAGTAGAATAGGTCACTATTTGGTCAGGCAGTGCTTCGACAAAAATTGTTCGACTTAACATTGATCTATTCTACTTAAAATTCGTCAGATTCTTAGATAATAATAGATAATATTCTTAATAATAATATAATTAATTAATTAATTAATTAATTAATTATAATATTCTTAATAGATCCCTATTTAGTCAGACTGACAGTTTGATTTTAATTAATCATCGATAAAACTTACTTATTTTTGTTATTAAAGTTACAAAAAGTAATAATTGAATAAACATTTAATTCTTTACAATTAAGCAAAAAAATAGTAAAACTCAAATTTCCCATCTTAGAAAGATTTTTCTTTTCTGCGGAATTATCCTCATCTTATTATACTTAAATATCCAGAAAGAATTCTTAGCATGATTTGAATTGTTTTATTCATCTGAATCTTCAGAAACTGACAATTACAAAAAGCTATTCCCATTTCGCACCACTTCCCCCCACAACTCTTGCGCATTAAGTTTCCAACGAAAGCTTTTAACACGGAATGTTGTAATTTTATACCAAGTACTTGGATATCGGAATATTAAAATATAAAGTAGATGGTATAATATATTTAATATAGAGGCAGAGTAGGTAAATTTTGAAAACTATGGCAAATATTGTTGCTGGTTATTAAAATTGAAACGAGTGTTGTAATTTTATTATATATATATGGATACAAGGTATATAAAAACAGTAAAGGTATATATAGAGTGAGAGAGTGAGAGAGAGAGAGAGAGAGAGAGAGAGAGAGAGAGAGAGAGAGAGAGAGAGAGAGAGAGAGAGAGAGAGAGAGAGAGAGAGAGAGAGAGAGAACTTGGGTTCGAATATGAGGTGAATGGGGATAAAAGGGGAGTTTGGGGAGGCAATATAATCCGTGTGAAATTATAAAGTGCCATTTCCATATATGGTCGTGGGAAAATCCCTGGAGATGATACATAATAATCCGCACACGACGAATTAGTTCAAAAGCTAGGAATATTCGCTGCGAAATTACTTTAGTGAAGGAAATTATCACACATAACAACATTTTGTAGCAGCCGGGGTCTCGCCATTAGTATAGCTCATAGAGTATAGAAGGAAACCTAGAGAGCCAGGGGTGTGTAGTGAAGCATCTTTCTCGAAATTACCCCGCATTGCAGATATTGCGTTCATCAACACGTTATTCGTAATCCTTATTATACTTATCCACCATTTTCGCTTCTGCTCGCAAACGCTTTTAATTAAACGCTTTTTCATCGTTGTAAAAGCTGATTTTTTATATTATTTATTATACCCATGTAATCCAATTCAACGTTTATATTAAATCTATCTTTTCAGGGTTATAACCTTTATATAAGCCTTCGAAGCTTTATAACTCTGGGTGGTATAAAGTCTTGATATTCAAAATTACAACGAATATTCAGATTTATTTTTAATAATCATTTTTTTATTTTTTTTATTTATTTTAATTTTTTTCATTTATATTTATTATTTTTACGTGTAAATATATGTGAAGCCTCTTGGTACAATTACTTTTTTAACCTTTAGAGGTTATCCATAACTCTAAAGGTTAAACATAACCTAAAATTCTATGTGACGTAAGATCTCTTTAACCGGAAAGCGTCACATAAATTGAAAAAAAATTCCGTTTCCGTTTTTTCTATTTTTGTCGAATCATTCTATAAGCTTTGCGGTATGTATTTATTTATTCATTGAAATTATTTATTTATCGGAAATACTTTATGGACGTTTCTTCTTTTCTTTTTTTTTTTGAAAGCTAGAGAAGGCAATGAGTTATTCATTAAAACGCGAAAAATTTATCAGGTAAAAAAAGTGAATAATCCCTTTGTTCTTGTTGCAGTGAAATATTTGAGAGAAGTGACCCCCTACTTCCGGAAGGCTTCGATCATACAGGAAGTGGGATGGGAATTGCAACGCGGTTTCCTAAGTGCAACCCCACCACCACCGAAGTCACCTCCAAGAGCGGACACTCGTTATCTTCCCCTACAACTGTGCCGGCTGACGAGATCGCACCCTTCAGCGGATCCCGGTAAGTTTTCCATCATTATTTACCAATGAAATTATTATTGAATCATTTTTTCTTTTTTTAGAAACTATTTTTTCTCCCACCTGCCCTTAAATATTTAATTAAAATATTTTTTTCATTTTAGTTAAGTAATTTTTTAAAAATATCGAGGTTTCTAAAATTGGCGGGAAAAAAACTGTCCGCGCAGCCGCTACGCGCCTGCGCGTCCAGTATTTTTCCCGCTTCCCGTGTAGAAAAATTTCGTGGCGCTAGCTAGCAGCGCTAGACTGCATGTAAATTTACCATGTATCTAGCACTGCTAGCTAGCGCCAAGAAATTTTTCTACACGGGTTACGTCTCTAGAGAGAGAAAGAAGAGGGGACGTTAGGAACTCTCGCTGTCTCTTTCTATCGACTTGACGCTGTACAGACTTACGTTCTTTATTTCTATAAACATAAATTTTCATGTATTTATTTACATTTTATTTACATCTATTTAAGGTCCTTATTATTTTATCAAACAATTTTTTTATTATTTTTGAAAGACAGAATTTTACATGTCAGAAGTTGTCTTTCACCGAAATTTCTTTCTGCGAATGTTTATTTACTATAATTTTCATTGAAACAAATTTCTATAAAACAAAATTTTTTCAAAATAAAAATTTTATTTGGCAGAATTTCCATTACGTCGAATTTTAATTTATCGAAATTTTCATTTACTGGAATTTTTATTGAACAAAATGTCATTTAAACGAATTTTTAAATAAAAAATATTTGAAAGAATTATTTTTTAGCCGAATTTTGATTTCTCCGAAATATTATATTTAAGAGAAATTCCATTTGAGCAATTTTCTAAATTACATAAATTTTATTTAACTATTCTACAAATCAAAGAAAATTTATTGTCAATTTTTTTAATTAAAAATATATTACATCAAATATCTATATTCTTAATATTTAAATAATGTTAACATTAAATTATGGACAATATTACAAATTGTAATGAAATAATTAATGAAAGTTACAGTTAGTATTTTTACTACAAATATTTTGTTTTCCAAAGAAATATCAATTATATCAATATAAATGCTATTTAAAATGAGACCAATCTAGTAAAATTATTAGAATTTTAAACAAAATGAATAACATCAGATTGAAACTTAAAAAAAAGTCTAATAAATTACTAATTTACTAATGAATTATTTTTGTTTATTAATTTCAAAAATAAATGAAATTCTTCGCAAGAATTCAATTATTTCCATAAATAATAACATTCTTTGTAAGAATTCAAATTAATTTTTATAAATAGAAAAATTTTTTGCAAAAATTCAATTATTTTCAAAAAGAATTTTACGAAAGAATTCAATTCTTTTCTTAATTCGTTATTAAAATTTTTCAAAAGAATTCAATTTTTTTCTTAATTCGATATAAAATATTACAAAAGAATTCAATTATTTTCTAAAATTGTAATAAAACCGTTCCAAACAATTCAATTATTTTTTTAAATGGTAAAGTTCTGTGCAAAAATTCAATTATTTTCAAAAGAATTTCAAGAAAAATTCAATTTTTTGAATTTGTAAATATTAAAATTCATTGTAAAAATTCAATTATTTTCTAAAAATTTTCACGAAAGAATTCAATTTTTTTTTAAATGGTCAAATTCTTTGCACATATTCAATTATTTTCTAAAAAAATTTTTACGAAAGAATTCAATTTTTTTCTTAATTCCATATAAAATATTTCAAAAGAATTCAATTATTTTCTAAAATTGTAATAAAATCGTTTCAAACAATTCAATTTATTTTTTAAATGGTAAAGTTCAATTTTTTTCTTAATTCCATATAAAAAATTTCAAAAGAATTAAATTATTTTCTAAAATTGTAATAAAATCGTTTCAAACAATTCAATTTATTTTTTTAAATGGTAAAGTTCAATTTTTTTCTTAATTCCATATAAAATATTTCAAAAGAATTCAATTATTTTCTAAAATTGTAATAAAACCGTTCCAAACAATTCAATTATTTTTTTAAATGGTAAAGTTCTTTGCAAAAATTCAATTATTTTCAAAAAAATTTCAAGAAAGAATTCAATTTTTTGAATTGGTAAATAGTAGAATTCTTTGCAAAAATTCAATTATTTTCTAAAAAATTTCACGAAAGAATTCAATTTTTTTTTCAATTTTAATAAAATCCTTCGAAAAAATTCAATTATATTTTTCAATGGTAAAATTTTTTGAAAAAATTTAATTATTTTCAAAAAAATTTCACGAAAAAATTCAATTTTTTTCAATTTGTAAATAGTAAAATTCTTTGCAAAATTTTCACGAAAGATTTCAATTTTTTTCTTAATTTGTTGTAAAATTTTTCAAAAGAATTCAATTATTATTTTCAAAAATTTTAATAAAATTCAATAATTAAATGTTTAATTTAAATTATTAACAAATTGCGATTATTTTAAAAACTTGAAAGAAATGATTCATAAAATAAAATAATTTTTAAAATTTTTAGAAAAACTCTAGAGGTGTGCATTTAATCGAGTCGAACCGAACATTAATCGACTCGACAACAGAAAATGCGAATCGGAGATAATTCGATTCGAACTAGTCAATTCGAAATTCGAAGGTTCGAATTTCGAATTGCTCAACTCGACTCGGTTAACTTTCGATTCGAATTGGCAGTTCGAATCGAATTTTCTCTCGATTCGAATCGGCCAATTCGAAGTTTCGAATTTCGAATTGCTCGACTCGACTCGATTTTCGAATAATTCGGCCCATTCGAAACACAACATACTGCATACACTACATAGCAATTCGAAAGTCTAACTTCGATTTTCGAATTGGCCGAATTAATTCGAAACTCGAGTCGAGTCGAGCAATTCGATCAATTGGCCGATTCGAATCGAGAGAAAATTCGATTCGAACTGCCAATTCGAATCGAAAGTTAACCGAGTCGAGTTGAGCAATTCGAAATTCGAATCTTCGAATTTCGAATTGGCAGTTCGAGTCGAATTTTCTCTCGATTCGAATTTTGCACACCTCTAAAAAACTCCATTATATAAAAAAAAATTCAAAGAAGTTGTTCGATGATTTTCAATAGATTAATTTTAAAATTGAAAATATTTGAAAAGAAAAATTATTTTAAAAAAGTTACGTTACGAAAAAGCAAACAACAACTAACTTCAAACTGCGAACAGATTACCGGAATACAACGATTATTATTATTAATATAGATTTTAAAATTATTTTGAAAATAAAAGTATAAAATAGGTATGTAACAATTTTTGCGAAATTCAATTTTCCTCGTACAACAATTAAGTTTAACAGCAGCAATAGTAATTTAACAAAATTTATCAGATTATCGTTTGTCTGACTTTCTTCTAATTTATCAGATTCAGTGATTTTTGGGGTGAATTTGGTAAAGTTTTAAAATATTTTGGTAAAATTTATTTATATTTGGTAAAGTTTTAAAGTGATTAATTTTTATGTTGAATACGAATTCAACATAGAAATTAATCATTTTAAAACTTTACCAAATATAAATAAACTTTACCAAAATATTTTGAATTTAGAAAATCGAATGTCAATTTAATTCTTTATTTCGTAATGCACGGGAAAAAATATTAACCCTAAAATACTACAAATTTCACTGTATTAGCGACATTATTCAGTGCTTCAATTAATACTTTCGCTATTCTAGAGAAACTTATCGCTGTTTTAAGTAAAACTTGTTTTCCGTGTGTAATGATTATTATTTCTTTAAAAATAATATGTAAATCAAAATAACTTCAAATTGTTTAGAATAAGCAATGCAATGCAACAATAGATAGTTTGGCTAGTTGATAAAAAAAAATTCAAAATTTATTTTTCTGCATCACTGGGTGAAAGGAGATTAAAGCAAAAAGAAGTAGTCTAATTGCAAATATGTTATATATGGTACAATAGTACGACAAAAGAAGAAATTAAAAATATCAAAAATTACAAAAGTTCAAATACGTCTTATTTACTAAACGATAGAGAGACACGTTTGAAAAGAAGAAAATTTCATTATAAACATTTTGCAGAGACGGAAATGTAGTGATATTATCTGATAGCCAGGAGAGAAAGGGAGAGAAAGAGTTGGTATCAAAAGTCACATGTTGATTTAAAAAATATCAGAAAAGTTGTAAAGTAAACTTGGTGTACACGTACGTCGCGAATGCTTCGTTGGAAAGAACTAAAAGCGAAGGTATGTTGGTTTGTTTACACGAACACGTCAACTTTGAATGTGAATAGGTTCATATGTACGAAAGAATGGAAGAGGAGATACTCTCGAAAGATACAGCACGTCTCTGATTGCTTTCCTTACCTTTACCCACCTTTACCCTCTTCCTGCCAAGTCTCCTCTTTCTCTACTCTTTCTCTATACTCTTACTTTTTCCTCTATTCCTCTCTCTCTTTCTTTTTTACCTGTTTCACCTCCCACCAACGACACTCTCTTTCTTTCTTTTAAAATGGCGCACTTTTCCTATTTTTTTTTCTTTTTGGTCCTCTGTTAGACTCTCGGGATGGAGGATATGAAACGGAACGAAGACTCTTGTGAAACAACTATGCAAAGGGTGAAGAAAGAAGGAAGGAAACCCTTCAGGGAATTAAGGAAAGTCTATTCGTCTTTCATTAATTCAACTCTTCAGGAACGAGACCCAGTTTAAAGTGCACTTTTCAATTCTCTTTTTTTCTAAGGAAATCAATTTTTTACAGTCGCGTTAGTTATTTTTTACATTTAATTGTAAGAAATTAGGTGGTGGGATATGTTTTAAAGATTCATTTTTAATTACCTTAAGTTAATTTTTATTAATTATATTTTCCACGTCGAAAAATTTCATGGAAGTACACCCTGAAAATTCCATGGAACTTCTCCATGGAATTTACATGGAGTTTCCATAGAAATACTGCAAGTTTTTTATTTTAAAAATATTTTAACATTTCCAGGGTTGTCATAGGTCAGGTAAATCAGGGAAAAGTCAGGGATTTTTATTACAGAACTGAAA